GGGGGGGGGGGGGGGGGGGGGGGGGGGGGGGGGGGGGGGGGGGGCAACAAGGTTGGCGGCAGTAGTGACGGGCAGGGTGATACCACAGAACAACAGGTTCGTGTTAAGGCCATATCGAAAAACCTTTTTGATTCTGCCAGTGCTCGGCAGAAACCCTTGCAAATACACTGGCAACATGCCGCCTTGGTTCGTCTATCAACAGGTCTTCTCTCTTTGGCTCTCAGACTCATCGAGCGCTTAAACCAAGCTCTCCAAAGCACATGGCTCCGGCGGACACAAGCACCGACCCATGGTCCGCAGCAAATGAGCCGCCCCCTACCCAAACCCTTTCTTGATCAGCTCTATACAACCAAGCCTCATGCGCCCGACCCCTCCCAACCCCAACAGAAAGAGGTCAACACGTACCCGTAGGTTGCATACGTTAGATAACACACACCCTGGATCGAAGCTCAAACTACTACAATACTGCTCCACGACGAAAAGGAGCGCCGGATTCAAATGATACATTTTCGGAAAGCGCTCCACGAGACGGTTCCAGCGCCGCCATTTCTGGCACCGTCAAGGTTTCTCCTGCCCAGTAATCGAGCTTTGACTATCGGTCCAAAAGAGGTGAGATATCTTACGCAACCTATGCATACGGTGTATACATTTCGTCTCCCACAATCCAATAAAACAATAATTATTTAACACACCCAATGAAAATCAAATCACCACCCAAGAAGAAAAAAAATCAAGACAGCACACAGTCTCTTGTCTCCTTTAGAACCTTTATTCCCCGAATCCCAATGGTGCTTTATTCCGACCAACCTCGCCAGTGACCTGGGTCGCAACGTGATCCACCGCAAAAACGCCTCCCCCAAGGCTGTCCTTGAAACCGCCGCCGGTTACCGCTCCTTCCGCGGCCAAGACGGCGTTGTGGTCGCCGACCTAACGAAGTAAAAACCGTGCACATGGACGTGGCAACGCACATTAGGCCGGCGAAGACGGGGAATCGGCTTGCGAACGCTGTGCTCGCGGGCGTCTTGCGGCTTGTTGTAACCAACACCCAGCTGCTGCTGCTGCTGCTGCTGCTGCTGCTGCTGCTGCTGCTGCTGTGTATTTGAGGTGAAAGGGCCCAGGCGTCGTTCGCGTGTCGTGATTGCAATCGTCCACGGCGGCGATCAACAAAGGTTGGGTCGCGTTGATGTGGTGGCCACGGGACTGTCGTGCAGCGCCAACCACAATTGCAGCAGGGGTTCCCTGTCCCACCAGCAAGCGGTACACGGGTGTAATGCCAAGCTACAACCCAGTGACGAATACGCAATCCGAGAAGACTCTTTGGATCACGTATTTACCGTCGCCCGCTGGCGACACTATACGGTACGAGGCTGACGGGACCATTCCACACCGCGGAAAGCACTCGAACCTGGTGAACCGCCTCTTGGCCGGGGAGCCAAGCGGTATCACTTCCTCACCGGGAATTTGCGGTATCTCGCCCTCGTGGACGGCACTCGCTGGAATTCTTGTTCCTACCTCTCAGGAAGCACTTGGCTGCCGTTGCCGTCACTCGCTCATGGATCGATGCAACTAGTCTTCCATTTTCCAATTCTTGGCCAAAAGCATGAAAAGCTTGCTGGGTTCATGTTTCGAGCGATGGCCTTCGCGAAGAAAGTCATCCGAACACGTCAACCTCCTTACCTCGACAATGACACCCTCCTGTGCGTTGTAAGCTTTGGCCACCTCTTGGGCTCTCGCGTCGTCAAGAAGTCCCTCCGGCAGCAGCTTCCTAACGTCTGGTTGGTTTCCAACACAAAGAAAAAGCGAGCAGTGTGGGGAAGCGACCGAACAGCAGCGTTACAGGTGTGCGTGTGCGTGCATTCTCTGACATCCGGGTCACACCCCGACTGATCCAACATGCTTGTCTTCGCGGAAAGAAGACCGACAAAGGAGCTGCCGTGAGTTGTGGAAGATATTACACACACCCCAATCGGTATTTTTCAAAGCTCGACTACTCAGCTGCGAACAAAGCGACGATGCCGAAAGTGGCGGCCTTGGAACCGTGTCGATAAGAGGTATTTCCGAACACGTTTCGTTTGATTTAACATCCGCTTCGTCGTGGAGCAATAGGAAGGGCATAGGAAGGGCTGGAAAATCGGTCCGGGGGGGTGTGGTATCTTACGCAACCTACGGTATTTTGTATTTGTCCGTGGGGTTCGTTGGGGAGGTAGGCCGCGGAGAGTGGACACAAAAGAGCGCACCCTTTGCCCGGGTACGTTTCTTGTAATTTAAAATCGACGCCTCGCTGGAATACTCAACGGTTAGCCGTACTTATCGGAACAACAATAACGACGTGAGCCAAGTCGAATCCTCTCTCTCGCTCTCTCTTCCCTACTCTCCCCACCCCGTCCCTCTGTCTCTCTCTGGGTGAATCTATCTCTCTCACACACGCACACACCTGTAAAACCTCTCTCTCTGTCACTCTCACACACCTGTCAAAACCTCCCAAAACTGTCCCGGCGGGCTGGCCATGAGCATGTGGGTGGCGATCTCGAGCTTTTCGGGGTCGCTGACTGGTTCCACCGCGTACTCCGCCTCGTCCACGTAGTCGGCCATTGTCTCGACCTCAGTAAGCCTTTGCAGGGTTGTCAATGAAGCAATCATGTTGGATAAAGCACGCGATCGAGGCAGTTAGGTTAGGGTTCGGGTTAGGGATAGGTCTGAGTACCCTTGCTATATTTTCTCATAACCTTAACCTTGAGGCGGTCCCTTGACCTCCACCACTCGTAGAAGGATGGCTTTCTCAAAATCGATCGATCGATCGAATCTGTGTTGCCATCTGCGAGGCAATGGGTGGACGGGGACAAAGCGAGTTCATTGAACTGCGTCGCTGTAAGTGCATACTGAACAATTGCATTCCACGTTGCATGCACGGCGTGGTTTGGGGGGGTCGTCATCCCATTTATCTCGGACGCACTTACTACCTGCTAGGGACGTGAATTTATGACTACCGTAACGTGAACAAATCTTAACACGAAAGTGTATCGCTACCGTATTTATTCACGGTCGCTACAGCAATATCACGCTTCGCCCTGTCATAACGTCATAACCCTTTCATTCGGTTCCTACCGCGCGTATCTACTGCTCACACGATCCAGGTTCGTTTGGCGTCGATGTACGGGTGTATGGGTCCAGTTTTCAAAATCGTATGCTCATGCCCTGCCAGAAGTAATTGCGCCGCATTTTCTTTCATACATCCTCCGGCCGACTATTTAATGCATCAAAACAACGTGTCTCCCATCCCACCTCCCCAGTCACACATACGCCATTCGTTGGTAGACCTTAACCGATGCGGTCGCATCGAAGGTAATGTTCATGTTTTGAAAGCAGTAACGGAGGATTTATCTATGTAGCTGGCAGACATCAATCGGATGATTGGCGCAAAACCGACTGCTGTCAATTTTATGGTTGACGGTAGGGGAAAAAGCTGAGGCCATCATGTTGCAACCACCAACGAGATAGTGGAAACGAACGTCTCGTTCATTCACGCATAATTGCGTTATCAGAAGGGCTTGCACAGCCAATTACGAGTGTGTGTCGCCTCGCAAAGGTGCGTGACTAGTCTGACCTACTGCAGTACGTGCCTCCTCGAGCAATCAACAGCAAGTGGTGTACTGTTCAAGTACACAAGCCGCTGCCTATCCCAAGCATCCGTGTAGCACACCTCGTCTGCATAGACAAACCATACGGGCACATCGCTGGAGAACGAATATGTGATTGTACCCAGCTTACCACAACACACCCACGACCGAGAGAGAGAGGGAGGCAGCAAAGGTGAGGTTGGTCCGAGCGTTGGAGCATGTATTTATTCCGGAAAATGTTCGGGCGGCCTCTTGATTCTTGATCTCTTGATACGGGGAATGTCTCAGCAGCTTTTCTTGGCGATCTCCATCTCCACGCAAGCAGGCACATAACATAGAGGACTCTGTCTCTCTCTCTCACCTTAAACGGCACTTCCTTTGCCTGCTGGTAGCACAAGCTGGAGTGCGCTCGGGACAGAGCAAGAGGTAGCTAGGCCGCTGGAGGGCCAAAACCATGTACATTCGTTCACTCTGCGGAGCCCCCATTCCCTCGGCGAGATGGCGAACGCATCGATGGGTGTTGCTGCTTGCTGTGTTGCTACAGAGCAGAGCAAAGCAGTCCCCACCGGCTACAAGGATGGCGGAGTCTACGGAAGTGATCTCGTCCTGCCTGAACCTCATGCGGCGACTGCCGCCAAAGGACATCGAGAACAGCCTAGAGGGGCTCCTGAACCTCGTCCCGCAAGTTACGGATGAACTACTGCAGCGGGTCGATCAGGTACCACAAGGCTAGACCAGGAGCGTAGCAGTGCCACGTTCAGCGCGGACAGCAGTCGACGCATCGAGCATCAGGAAAGCATAGATATCGAATGGTTTGTTCGCTGTTCAACCGGTCGTTGTTGCACCACACACACACCATCGTAGTGCCTACTACTGCTGTACCTGGAAAATGTTCGAAGTTGTTTGATCATGTCAGGAGGAGGCAAAGACACGCCCTCTCACCTCCCCGGCCCTTGAGCCGGCCGGGCGGCAGGGTTGCACCGCCGCATGACACTCGTGGATATGACGACAATGGCTGCAGAGACAAAATCAGTGCCGACGGTCTAAAAAAGGTCATTTGCTATTGATGGAAGACTGCACTTTTCTCAGTCTGAAGCCTCTCGCACAGCAGTTACAGCACATAGCAGGCGGGCACCGCAGGCTTGAAACTGCTGCGGGAAGGCAACATAGCAAGTAGAGTGTTAGCGGTTATCAACCACTTCCCAATGGGCCCATTGCTCTATGATGCACTCCACATATCGCCGTCCTGTGATGTACATTCCACACCCCCGCCCCCGCCTCATTCCCCTCAAGTTTGTGCGAATCAACTTCAGGTGTAGTCAACGTGCGTCGTAGGTGCTCACCCACGCATCGTTGCAAAATCGACAGCAGTACTTGAGGCAGGACACAGGCACGGATCTCATTGAGGGATATGCATGCTCCATGCAAACTTCGTGTTATCACTGAGGCACCTGCTCACATTTCCATGGCACCATGCTCTCAACCCTTATGCTCGTTCTTGACAAGATCCCCCTCCCGCACGCCCCGCTATCAACCGCTCCGAGACGAGACGTTTTTGTTCAATATGCGGAGCCGGCAACAGCAACAGAAAACACCACCGCAACGAACATACACACACACCCGCCCCCGCCCCGCTGCCAGCCGCTTCAAGAAGCGACAGACCCAGAGACCGGTCGACGCTACCTGAGGTGCGAGTACAACCGTGACGCGAGCTCCTACCGCAGCCCTTGGAGCAACAAGTACGACCCGCCCATCGAGGACGGTTTCACTCCGGGGGATCGCCTGAGACAGATGGAGGCGAGCGGCGTGTTTACGCACAGGGGGGACTCGGGGCGGGGTGGTTGTGATTCTTGCACAGATTTATGGAGAGTCCTTGGTGGTGCAGGTCATTCGCAGGAGAAATCTTGTCTGCGCGTGAAGAGGAGCGTGTTTGTCCGTCGTTGTCCTGGGGACATTACTTCTCCGATGCGTTCTCGCGTTGGCGAACGGATTTGTATGCGTCTTGCGGCGTTTGCTCTGAACACCCGGCTGGGCTACATATCGGACATTTTTACCAAGTCCCCGGGGTTTCCAATATTTTTCGCGCTTTTTCAGCGCGCGCACACGCGCGCGCACGGGATCCCACGCAGAGCTATTGGAAATTGTGGAACACCCTCTGGTTACGCTTCAATCTTGGTCACGATGGGGGGAGGATATAGTATGACCATTCCAAAGCCTACACCATGAATAGAATTTATGGGTTTTCGAATGCGGCACGAAAGCTTATACAATGAAGATTATGTTGGTTTTACTATGGAAACACTTATTCCTATGCAAAAGACTACTGCACGTGAGCCACCTAGAGTGGCGATTCTGTGTGTCAATCTTGGCCCGGGGGTCGGGGGGGACTGGGGTGTTCCACGGTTTCCACTTGGAGGGCCACTTGCAAGCTGACCTTTTTAGCCCCCATCCCTCCTTCACCCCTCTCCTCTCTCCCAATCCTGCCCCCCCCCCCCCCCCCCCCCCCCCCCCCCCCCCCCCNCTTCTCACCCCTCTCCTCCTGCACTGAAGGTGGACGCCAACATGCTCCTGGACGCCTACCGCGAGGTGTACTTCTCCGGGGGGGTGAGCTCCGTATACCTGTGGGAGGAGGAGGCGGAGGGAGGGGCCGACAACGCCACTGGGGCTGCGGGGAGCTTCGCGGGGTGCTTCTTGATCCTGAAGCGCGTCGGCGGGGACGGGGAGGAGGGGCCGGCAGGGGCCTGGGAGAGCTCGCACGTTGTCCAGGTACGCCTAGGCACTTGGTTACGGATAAGAGGTCTGTTGCGCGCACCCCTTCCCCGCCCCTCCTCGGCTTCAGTTTATTTCGGGTAAACACCTTGGCACAACCAAGTTCGACTGACACGTGTCCAAACCAAGCGCTCTTCCGTCACCGGCAACTCATGATCTTTGAGAATACCCACCACCACGTTGGAGGACGGCGACACGTTTCGAGACGCCGTGCCCATCGTTGGTTCCTCTGGCGGGAGGAAGGTGTAGGCGTTTTTGGTTTTGCCTGCCTCAGCAGCGTGCTGTTCTGTTGAGTGAAATGGCGACCGGTTGCGTGCGATGCACTTTAGCGCCCGCGCGCAAGAATATCTATTTTTGGTCGAGGCTGGGGTTCTCACTGTATTCCTATGATAGGGTTATGCTACGAATGGCCGCACTATAGGTTTTAGTGTAGGGGTTCTTAACCGAGCTCAAGAATAGTGCTCAAGTTCTGAGGTTTTTAGTTTACCGAAGCCAGCTTCTTTTCGAGTGCCAAGTTGTCAAGTGCGGGTTCAATGTAACTGTAACCCGGCACATGTGCTCCAATGATCACACTTGGGCACCACGGTGTCGATGAAACCCCTTGTTCTCGCGCAGGTCGTGTTGAGCAAGAAGAATCCCACGCAAGCGACGTACAAGGTCAACACCACGGTGAGCTTCGCTGGGCTTCGGAGAATCATCTCACCCACCGACCGTGTAGCACTATTGCTTGGCACGGAACAGCAGTAGTGCATTTCGTGTGTCACATGCCTTCCCCCCCCCCCCNCCCCCCCCCGGTGATACGAGGTATAAGTTGCTACGAGAGAAGGCGAGTCACACATCTTCTGCATGCCACATCTTATGCATGCCTCTCATCGTATTGTAGAGGTATCATACTAAGTTCGTATGAGTCAGGAGGGCAAGTTCTCTCGCGCTTGATGCTGAACCGGTCGGCGCGACAACATTGCTGCTGCTGCTGCTGCTGTCCGACGTCCCACCCCCCCCGTGATGTTCCCGTGCCTTTTGTTCCGAACGACGTCCAAGTCGACTAACAGGCGTTTCGTGACTCTTGACCCGGACCCTACAACGCATTCATTTTGTCGCGACTCTCGACCCCCCCAAACGACGACAAAATATACGGGCAGTTTTTGTTTGGTGTGACCCCCCTTCACACGCCCGTACCACTGCCTAAGGATAAGCTAACCCCTCCCTTGAGCTTTCCTTTGTTCATCCCAAACCACCCGATGTATCAAAAGCCACGACCTCTATCCATCACGTATCACAATCGTGCTGCTGCTGCTACGTGTGCAGGTGATGCTGTCGGTGGACCCGAAGGACGAGGCCGTCGGGGCGACCAGCCTCTCGGGCAACCTGGCTAGGGAAAAGGAGGAGACCAAGACCTTCTCGACGGACAGCGACCACCTCCAAAACCTGGGCGTGATGATCGAGGCGATGGAGAACACGCTCAGGAGCGACATGGACGGTAGGAGCCGAGTCAGTCTACCACCGCATCTCAGGACGAAGTGATTTCTTCAACCCATTTTTCAGAAAGAGTTTTGCACATTCGGCAGGGGATTCTTAACGTGATTTTCGGGTATGTCTGCATAGTTTGGGGTGTCAAAGCAGCAAATTTCCTGGAGGAAAAAATTCGAAAAAGTGACCCCGGATCTTCCTGATGGAAAATCGACTGACCAATATAATTGCACGGAACGGTCCGAAAGCTCCCTCAAAACACCTGACGCGCACGCGCGAGGGCGCCGCTCGTGTGTGTCCTCTGATGTGCCCTGCTATGGGACACAACACAACACCTTTGCGCGGTCCCACTCTAGAACGCATGCCTCATGACACACCCGAGCAGCAGCCGGGCGGTGAAGCCACGCAGACACCTGCCGCCGCCGCTGCTGCTGTTGGCAAAAACAGCAGCTGTAGCAGCGGCGGCGGCGGCGGCGGCGGCAGCGAGGTTGAGTCTGGCTCTCTTCCACAATCATCTTACTTTTGACCAACTCCTCCTTCGTTTCCTCCAGCGTGCTCTCTACGACGGTGAGGCTGCCGCGTTCGATAGCGCGCCGCGTGTTATCTTCTGCTGGCGCGGCAACCGTACACTGCCCCGTCCTCTCTTCAAACTTTGTTTTGTTTTAATTCAGCTTTCGCGCAGCGCGCCTCCTGCTGCCGAAAAGCGCGGACCTCGATTTTTTCTTTTCGGGAGGGTCTGCTGGTGTGGGCGTTGCAGCCCCACTGGAGAGTCCGTTTTCAGACATGTAGATCTCGTGGTTGGCTGATGCGATTCGGATGCGGTTTGTTGTGTGGTATAGCTGTAAACCCAAGGTAGAGGGCTGTAAGATCGCTTTTTCGAGAGGAGCAAAGGAGGCCTTGGGCTAGGAGCAAAGAGCTCAAAAATACATGTTTTTTGGTATTGTTCGTCCGCCCTTTAACTTTAAGAGAAAACCGAGCTTACAGTCGCCTCTATTGGACTTGTGTCCAGGTGTGTGTAACGTAGGGTAGAGCCACGCTGCTGTCTGGGCGCAGAACTACCTGCACAAACTGAGTGATGCAGTGTTTAATCAGTATAATAGGCGGGCACTCTCAAGAGCCGAAAAAGAACCCAATCCGTGTGCCCCCCCCCCACAATCGCTGAATAGACCGGTCACATTTTTGGCTCCAAAATCTGCCCGATTGACACCCCTAATAGTATGCAACTACATCGCGTATTTCCGTCTAGGTATATTGCAACCTGTCACTTTCTCAAACAGACTCGCAGTTTTTTTTTGCCAACCCGGAACGCGCCCCCCCCCCCCCC